ATATAGGAGATGAGTGGAATAATGTGATAGTTACGTTACTGGATATTATGGCATTTCTTAAAAAGAAAACAATCTGAAGCAAAATAAATAATATCTTAAGAATACATTCGGTCAGTGGAATTCTATTGCTTTACTCATCATACTGTTTGTTCCTTTCATCGTCTATATAAATGTCTTCTTGATAATATGATCATAGTTAAGAGTACAAATTTTACTTAGATTTTTCCTCAACAAATAGAAAGACTTACGATTAATGTATCAACTGATTTCTACTTGATTTCTATAATTTATATGCTTTCTGTGATAAATGATGTCAAGTGTATTATTAGAAGGTATTAAGATAAAGAGTTTTTCAAAAATTATGATGATCTAAATGTGACTCATAGTACCATATTATTTTTCATTATAAGAGTGTATTCAAATAAATGTATCATAAAAATAGTAAACATTTCACATAATATGCGCGAAATAGGCTGATGAAATAGAGTTCTTGATAGTAGAATATGATGGAAGAGAATAAAGACGTCATTATACACACAAATGCTTGCGTAGCTAAAATTAAAAGCATATAATCGATTTAGTTGTTTTAATTTCTTCACTGTAACAATAGATTTTTTTTTAGTTTTCTTGAAAAAAAAATGAACACAACCGATCAACAACACTTTTTAACTGGGTGTGAGATGATTGGTGTGGGCATGGGTGAGGGGTTTGGGTGCGTGTGCGTGTGGGTGTGGGTAATATTCTTCATCCACATCCACAACACACTCACACACCCACATCCACACCACCCACCCACCCCAGCCACCCCACACCCTGGTTGAAAAAAAAACGACGCGTACTAATATAACGTAATGATTGAACTAATGAATCAAAATATGGTCAAATTTTTTCTTGTCAACTTTGATCACATTTTTTGCAAGTACATGGTTCATTATCTTGGCTAAAATTTAAAAAAAAACACATACAAAAGCTAATTTCTTCTAAAAACTTACCCGTACTTGGTGCCTGTAAAACGTATCGGTGATCCATCTGAATCATACTCGATTTCCGTCAGGAGAAAATCTAGATATTCATCTGAATAAAAATTTGGATTCAATTGTGTATGATACGACATAATATAACGGTAACAACTTTTCTTTCAGAAGCTACAAAATAGAAAAATTATATTTTAAAAAATATAAATTTTCTTTTGTCTTTTTTATTCTTTGTTACGCTAATCTTTAATTATCATATGTCGAACTCACTGAGTAAACAGACATTCTTTGTAAAAAAAATACAATTAATCAAAGAAGATTGAAGGCTACAATCAATCATGTTCGTTTATGACAAACGTTTAAATATAAACAAGTCCATAAACATTTGTTTATAGAAATCGAGCACGAGTTCATTACAGTGAATGGGTATTTTTAATTCTTTGTTCTTCTTCTTCTCTGTGAATAAAATCACATTTAAAACAAAATTCATTTTCTCAGTTTGAATACTACATGGTTGGTTGAACACGTCCTAAAAGAAACATTCAAATTAAAAACAAAACGATTGTTAATTCAACAGATTTTTAACAAAAGTAAGTCATATGCTTCGTAAATTATTGAAATGAAAAAAAAACCAAAAATTCACGCATACGCACTGGAAGAATTTCTCTTGTAAATTTCTAATTGTGATCTGTTTTTATATTTAATTTAGGTGGAAAAATGAAAGGTACAGAATCTCGAATATCGATACTAGTATCGAGTGGTACTCAAACTGGAAATCTAAACGCATTGCATCATGTGGACACTTCAGTTACAATACCATTTATGCATTATATTACTCTAAATTCGGTTTATTATGAAAAAATATATCGATCTGTTCGTACATGTGATACCAGTACTGATGATTTAATGGGTATACTAAAAAGGATTTTCATCTTAACATAAGATAGTTTATATTTTCTTTTGCTTCATTTCAGGCTATACAAATGGAGAAGGTCACACTGCTCCATCATCATCTACTGCTGTTAGTACAGACACGTTTCTTGAAATTAATCTTGTTTCACCATCTTCATCACCAATGAATTCTAAAATGGGAGATGAAAATGTTTAAAAAAATTCGGAAAAATCAGCAGCCGAGGTTGAATCGAACAAAACTAAAAATGTGGTGGATTCATCAACGACGGATATGACATCGTATTATAGTAAAAGCTCATCAACAAGTTCAAAATCATCCGCAACAACAAAATCATACGGTAACGGAACGAACTTCAATTGCTTCATTAAAATTAGAAGACTTTCTATTGCTGATATTCGTAAAGCATGTTATCCTTTAGGTGAATTACCCAAAATCCCATTTAAAACTTACATGGAAAAACAGAAAGAACGAGAAAAAATTGAGCAATCAACAAAGAACAACAGCAGAAGTCCAATTTTAACAAGTCATTTAGCAGATGGTGGTCGACGTAAATCTACTATTGAAGAAGTTACTAATACTAAATCACTATCACCAGGATCAGCAACATCGTCATTATCATCATCCAATTCATCTAAAACATTATCAAAACGTAAGCGAAGTCCTGATTATTCAAATGAAAAAGCAGTAAATGAAACAAATAATGGTCGACGAGAAATGATGATGGCTTTAGCACGCACATTTGAAACATTAGTCGATACTGATTCAACATTAGATTCAATGGAAAGTCAAGATGACCTTCGAAATTGGTGTGTAACAAAAGTATTACGTACAATGGAACAACATCAAGCAAAAAAAAATGAAAATAAAGCTGATGATCGTCACTCATAAATTAATAAACACTTATGTAGATTTTCTTGCATGTTTTTCTTACTATTGTTATTGTTGTTGTAGATCATACACTATAATATTTGTTTCTAGTAGTAGTACTAATTCTAGAACTATTTCTATTCAAGCATTGTTCATTATATTCTTGTTACTTGTGGAGCTTTTCACATCTATTAGTGTTTTCTTTTGTCTTTGGAAAATTTATTCGATTATCTAATAAAATAAACTAGCCAATAACAGAACGAAAAAATAATTCCTTATTGTTTTTTTTTAACATTGAACCATTACGTCATTTGAGGAGAGACAGAACGTTGATGATGCACACATCTTGATACAGAATAAACACATCTATTTCAACACGAAATTCAATAAGATTTTCAATAAATGATTTATTTTTCAGATGCTTTTATCATTTATCGATTCATTCAAACGTTACCAATGGCTCAACCAGAAATAGAAGTTGTCTGCAATATATGCCACCGAAAAATTTTCGATAAATATCGAAATACCGTCGAATACGAATGCGAACATTATGAACATAAGATCTGTTATGATCATCAGCATTCAAAAAATAGAACATCTACTAAATATGGATATTTTTCATTTGTATTATTCAAATCAGAATAATTATTGTTCAATAAATAAAATTAGTTTTGATTATACCTGTTTTTTTATTCCCTAGACTGAAAGGATAGGGTCTAGAAACCTAAATTTTCTGTGTTTGGATCGGTTACGTCTTTGTTTGTATCGGTGACGGCTGTGTTTGTATCGGTGACATCCTTGTTTGTATCGGTGACGTCTGTGTTTGTATCGGTGACGTCTGTGTTTGGATCGGTGACGTCCGTGTTTGTATCGGTGACGTCCTTGTTTGTATCAGTGACAAAGGTCGCTTGAGTATTTTGGCCTGTTCTCCGAGGTAAATTCATCGTTTTGGTGAATTTCGTAGTCACATTCTCGGTTTTATCTTTTGCCAATTTTTTCTAGCAAACTTTGAAAGAAATATCGTATATGTTCTTTTTTTTTTCAAATATCAATCTTCTCTGATTTGCTTTTCGTTTTCGTGTTTTATCGCGCTTTTCTTAATTTCACTTTAGAATATGTTATTATCATAAATAGTTTAATTTTCATTAAGTTTGCTTACTTGAAATACGAAGTTGCAACGAAATAACGGTACCAACTCGTCTTCTACTGACTTTAATTCTTCCAGTAATATTGAAGAGTATGTGAAAATTTTCTAATTTAGTTGGATATTGATGTGCACTATCACCTTCTCTATATAGTATTTGTTCAGCGTCTTATTCTCCAAAAAGTTGCCGTCAATAGATATCCAAATGTCGACTTCTAAGGACCGAATGCGAGCTTTTCGTGCCCGTCGTGCACTCGTAGAGACTGCTGAACAAAAAGAGAGTCGACTGGCTGTTGATAGACAATATAAAAAACAGCGACTGGCTAATCTTCATGTCAATCAAACAAATGAAGAAAAGCAGGAGCATCTTGCATCTCGTAGCCAATACGAAGTGAAACGTCTAGCCAACAAACGTGCAAAAGAAAACGCAAAGGAGAGAAAAGAACGTCTTACAGCGAAGCGTGAGAAAGAAATGAACCGTCGACAAAACTTACGAGCGCGCGAGACTGATGCGGAACGAAATATTAGATTAGAGTGTGATCGTAATCAACATCGGTAAGACTCACAGTTTCTTTGCTTTTTCTATCAAACATTCTTCTTTTCTCTTTCGCTCGTAGGGCGAAAACACGTGCGAGAAATGATTCAAATATGGCAATAAACCGAAACTGCGCTGTATGTGGCTATAAAATCATGACTCAAAATTGGTCACAATTAACTATCAGATCATTTCCGAACCTTCATCGTCTTCGACCTCAGAGCGAAGAGATACCCGATTCTGTTCTGAAAATTGATTTTTCACGATTTACTAGTAAGAATCTATATTGATCGCAAATCATCATTTTGAAACGTTTTCTAAATTAAAATAGGCTATGTTCGGCGATCGTTAGAAACTTTTTCTGGTTTCGATGTTCTCGTGAATGGAGCAATATTAGGACGACGCGGGATCGACACGACAACTGGTTTGATAGTCGTATGCCGTGGTTGTCAGACCTCTTTACAAAACAATGCTACGCCCACATCGGCTTTGAGCCGCTTATACTCGCCAGATAATGCTTCAGATGAGGAATAACTTTCATACTGTATATAAAATTGACGTTACTTAATATTTTTAAGCTATTCATGCATAAAGACGGAACATCACTATATTTAAACCCAAATTGCTTTCCAGTTTGTCAGTTAATGATATCCTAACTATGAACGGTAGAGAGATTTGATAGTTTTCGCGAATGCTATGGATGCCCAAAATTTCGACTACAAAAGCTTAACAATTGGTTCTTTCGAAATTTCTTGTTTCAGAATCTCCAATTCTTCGGTCAATCAAATATATTCAACCATCTGCACTATACGATAAAGTGAATCTTCATTCGATGAATATTATTTCTTTTTTTTTACAACTTTTAGACATTTACAGGGTTGGAAATAATATTATTCCAGGGGGGAGGGGTAACGCTATAATTACGAATAGCAACCATAATGAATTTTATACCAAATGAAAGCCTGTAAAAAATGGGGTTTCCTGATACTAAATTGTAAGGGTTTTCAAGATATTTTCATGTAATAAACCTTCAAAGTTTCGCAATCTCGTAGAATACATTCGTTCTAATCTATTTTCAGGGAACTGTAGAGCAAAGAAAAACAGATATTTTCCGTAGAAAAATCGAAAAGATCTTTGTTTAAACGATCATAAGACGTGGATTCGATTGAGAAATAGGACGATCCTTTTACGTCCTATTGTTCGGTCCACCTGGAAGCAGCTATTTAGAAGACTTTTTCATATTTCATATCGGTAAACTATAGTAACTTTTGAAGATGTATTGTATGAAAATATCTTGAAAACCCTTACAATTTCGTATCAGGAAACCTCATTTTTTACGGGCTTTCATTTGGTATAAAATTCATTATGGTTGCTATTCGTAATTATAGCGTTACCCCTCCCCCCTGGAATAATATTATTTCCAACCCTGTATATTTCTGTTCTTTGTAATTCCACCTGCTGAACTTTAAACTGATTTTACTGTTAATTGATTTTTAATTACGAAATTCAAAAACACTCGGCTTTTTCCTTGTAGCACATTTTTTTATTTCGGTCAGAGATGTACTCTTTGATAGTCTCATCTTCATATCTAGTCATATCACATGTCATCGTGTTTCAGTCTAGGGACGAGTAAATCGGAATCCGATGAACGTTACTTGTCTTCTTCTTGCTCTATTTTTTTGTTTTTCAGATAAAATTTTACTTGCTTCGCAATATTATCACCTATGATCACAAGTTTGTCTTACAAGTATCATTCTTAAGTGAAATTTTAGACTTTTTCTAAAAAGAAAAATGAAAAATGATTTCGAAACCAATTTTTATTTTTATTTTTAGGTAACCCAGAATTCGTCAATTCATCAAAAAACAATTGTTACAAATATCAAAAAACAACAATAGCATAATCCTTTCTTAGTTTATTTTTTTCGCTTATGTCTTATATATTGATCTGCATTGTTTTATTTTGCTTTTTTTTTACAAATAAAATAATTTTTTTCACATGGGTTAATTTACTTCATGTGTGCTTTGTCGCTTCCACAGAAAATATTTCTTATCATATTAGATCAAAATAATCATTCATATGATTGTTTCTTATTTCTTAATATGCTTCAGAGACGTTTGATTAAGATTTGCTTGAAATGATTGATAATTTCAAAAAGGAAAACAGAAAAGCTTAAATAAAAACTAACATAGTTTTCAAATAGTATTTTTATAATCGAGCGATCGAATTACTCTTGATATTTATTAAAAAAATGTATAAAGACAATAATAATTTACAAATGAATATTACTAGTGAAAAAATCAACTGTGAAGAAATTTCTATTTATAAATTCTTTTTCTTTCTTTTCAAAGTAAATATCGTTCGATTCGAAAGATAACAATCTAGAAGAACTATTTATCAGCAGCTTCATTCGGCATACCATCAATTTTTGTTTGACATTATCTATTAAACTATTGTCTGTCAGATTTATATATGTTATAGAGCATCGTAAAGTGGAGTAATAACATTTTTGCACGTATTCAATGCTTATCATGTGAGAAATAATATACAAGATTATCTTGACATAGTAGAACAGTTCAATGTAAACATGTTGTTTTACTGTAGTATTTAAAGACGTCAGTGTCTCATTTCTTTTCATTTTTTTCAATCCATTATCTTATAAGTAACAAACGAAGTAAGTCAGTAGTAATACAAAAGTTTTTTTTTTACTTTTACTATTTTACAGGTATATGATTCTCATCGATACATTTCATTTGAGGCAAGAATTTTATCGATTAAAAGAAATTATTCACTGAATACATA